CCCCCCCCAAAAAAAAAAAAAACCCCCCCCCCCCCCCTTTTTTTTTTAAAAAACCGAAATTCAGACGTCACGCATGAAAGCTCGCTGCGTCACAACCGTTTTGTTCACTCAGTGGTATTAAGATAAAACGTGTGGCGTGGAGTGGGAGTGGTTAGGGCTTGGAAGCAGGGCGAGCCAGACGCACACCATATAAAAGAGATTGAATAACTGCATATTTTGAAAGTATCTAGCCCCTCACCCGACCACCCACCCCCGGCCAAATAAATACATATTTCACCAGTTAGTGCTCTGAAAAGCTTGAAGGATCTTCTTCCTGTTATTATTATTATATTTTTTGTTAATACTAAAATTAAAGTAAAATACAAAAGTGAAAGAAATTATTATGATTATGATTCGTGCCAAGATTCATAAAGTTAAGCATGTCGTTTCATTTGGCACAGATGCCAATGCTGAGTTGGTGAAGTCCAAACAATGTCAACATGTACTGTTATTATGAGTGTGAACTGATTCCAGTTAAAGCCTGGCACCGGTTGTCTATGCTGAACACTATCATAGTGATACACCCATAAATGCGTCCTACCATTGATAATGTTAACGTCATGAAAAGGCTGGAACTATTGGGCTACCATTGATAATCTTAACGTCATGTGAAGTCTAGAACTGTTGGGCTCAATGGTTTATTTGTAATTGAGATTTTTTTTTGGAGTGCACTTACAGCCTGTGTATTCAGAACTGAATTAAGGGGTTGGGGGGGGGGAGGGAGAGGAGGAATTCCGGAAGAGTGAAAATGTACCATTTTCCAAAGTCACTCTCTCCAATTCCGTTATATTTATTTCCAATCACAAATATTGTGAGTTAGTCTTGCTGTTCTCAAAGTTAAATGATGGTGACCTGTGAAAAATGATGACAATCCAAACACTATTAATGTGTGTGTTTCCAACCTGTACATCATTTAAAGTAAGGAGGGCGGGGGCCGGGTTGTGTGTGTGTGTGATTGGGGGGGGGGGTTAGATGTCGAATCTGTTGTTTTTCTCTTGTTTTTCTGCCTGGTCATGAACCCCTCCCAGTACCCCCAAACTGATCATAACGTAACATTACCCGCCTACCCGCCCACCACCCACCCACCCACACACACACCCCCCCACCCACTGGGGGGGGGGGGGGGGTGGTTGTGTGGGTGGGGGTGGGGGGGGGGGGGGGTTAGATGTCGAATCTGTTGTTTTTCTCTTGTTTTTCTGCCTGGTCATGAACCCCTCCCAGTACCCCCAAACTGATCATAACGTAACATTACCCGCCTACCCGCCTACCACCCACCCACCCACACACACACCCACCCACCCACACACACACCAACCACTTCACCATCAACTCCACCGTCTACGCCACAACCCAACGCCACCCTTCCCACACGTTACACGCCCGTCTCTCTCAAATCACACGTTCATCAAGGAATGTTAACAATATGCCCCAATTACAAACCTCTCCTGCTTGGCCACGCCCTCTTGTCAACATTTCCCCGATATCAAGGGCAAGGGCCCTAAACCAACACGGTGCTATGCTGGTAATCACTTCCACTCATATCGGCCTTATCTATTCCCCCCCCCCCCACACTTTTTCCCCTTACGTCTCGCCTAGGTCCCCAACCATCGTCCATTGTACCAGACTGCGGCATGTGGGATTTCTCTGCGACTTTCACCCACACGGATATCAGTGACGCGATCGTTGGGTAACCACAAAACGACGTTAAAGGGTTAACGTCAGAGTTGTATGATTCAGATCTTACGGTGAACATTGAAATCAACGATGTCGGATTGGATAATAACTGCATGATGACGTTGGAGGTAGTATGGGATAATTAAATGCGTTGTGAAATATTATTGATATCATTTAAATTTGATAGTTAATTAATTAAGGAGCTGAATGCTGATAGATAGAGTGAAATTTGTAACTGTGAGGATGAAATCTGTAATTGTAAGGACGAAAGCTGTAACTATAAGGATGCAAGCTGTAAATATAAGGATGAAAACTCGAACTATAAGGATGAAATCTACTATTGTAAGGATGGAAGCTGTAACTATAGGATGAAAGCTGTAACTATAAGGATGAAAGCTGTAACTATAAGGATGAAAGCTGTAACTATAAGGATGAAAGCTGTAACTATAAGGATGAAAGCTGTAACTATAAGGATGAAATCTATAATTGTAAGGATGAAAGATGTAATTATAAGGATGAAAGCTGCAACTATAAGAAGGAAATTTATAATTGTAAGGATGAAAGCTGTAACTATAAGGATGAAAGCTGTAACTATAAGGATGAAAGCTGTAACTATAAGAGGGAAATCTATAATTGTAAGGATGAAAGCTGTAACTATAAGGATGA